TTAAGTATTTCTTGTAGAGTTGGTCTGGTGATGATGAATTCCCTTAATTTCACGAAAAGACTTTATTTCTTCTTAATTTCTGAAGCATGGTTTTCCTAGATATAGGTTGGCAGTTTGTCTTTCCATTCTCTTCTGTCCTTTACAATTTCTACTTTGAAATCTGTTGGATATTTCCTTATATGTGACTTGATGCTTTCCCTTGCTGTTTTTTAAGATTCTGTCTTTGTTTTCAATATTTGACATTCTGACTGTACTACAGTATGTGACCATATAATTGTTCACAATACTTTCTTATGATCATTTGTTTTGGCGAAGGTTTGTCTGGGTTGAATTTAGTTAGGATCTTTTGAGCTTCTTCTATCTGGATATCCATATCTCTTTGAAAATTCAGGAAGTTTTTTAGCTATAAGTTTGTTAAATAGGTGTTGGGTGCTTTTTCTCATTTTTTTCACCTTTGGACTTCTTGTAATGCAAATATGTTTGCTTAGAATATTCCATAAGATTCATGGACTTTGTACATTTCTTTTGATCTTTCTTTCTTTTGTTTCACTGAGTTAATTCAGAAGAACTGTTGTCAGGTTCAAAAATTCTACTGCTTATTTGTCTGTTGTGGTTTTTCTTTTTTTTTATTTCACTGACATCTTTAATACCAAGATTTCTTATTGTTCCTTTCTTTTTATGATTTCTGTCTCTTTGGTGTTTCTCCTTTATATCCTGAATTGTTTTTCTAATTTCTTTATATTGTCTATCTGTACTCTTTTATGTCTCACTGTGTTTTCTTAGGATCATTATATTTTATTTCTTTTCAGGCATTTTACAGATTTTCTTCAAATTGGGACTTATTTCTGGAGAATTATTGTTTTCCCTTGAACATTTATTTTATGTTTCTTGTGTCTCTACATCAGTGTCTGAGCATCTGGTATGACAGTCTGTGTTATGGTTTGGATCTGGAATGTTCCCCAAGAGCTCCCATGCTGAAGGCTTGGTCACCATTGCAGCAACATTCAGGGGTGGGACTTTGGGAAAGTGATTAGACCATAAAGGCTCTAACCTTGTAAATGGATTAATCGGCTGATGGATTTGTAGTTGCCTCCCTCAGTTTCATGGAATAGTTTTCACAGGAAACAGTTTTTGATTTGGATGGGCTGTAAGTTGACAGTTGGGTAGGTACTTTGGCTTTGATTATAAGTGAGCTCAAAAATGTAGTTTCTGTGTAATAACTTCATTTTTGATTAATGTTAGTAGTGTTTATGAGTGTCTCAGTAGTCTAGACTATAGTGGCTTATGACTTTGCAGTAGACATAGGCTTCCAAATGTGTGTGTCTTCAGGCTCCACAAAATCAAGCCCTGATGTCTCCAGGGCTTATGGTGAAAAGTGCCATGGTCTCCATGGTATAGGATGTGGAGAAGATTGTCTTCAGGCCCCTTGGAAAAGCACAAATGACATTAATGTTTGAGCACCAGCATGTATGGTTCTTGAGCCAAGGATATGAAGGAGACCTTACCTAGGATCTTGGGGAAGGAGATCCCCGGACCTATGACTCCACAGCCAGAGTTCTGGAGCCACAGGAATGGAATGGAACTTTCCCCTTGTCCCCTAGGATGAACACAGATAATGCTGGAGTCTCTGGCACTGGTAACCATTAGCTCTAGGTTGTGGGACACAAAGGGGACTTTCTAAGCCTCATGAGGTGATTAGGGTTGATGCTGGGTTTTGTAATACTATCAGCCACATTTATGGAGTTGTGGGACCTTTATGGTACCTTGATCCCAAGGGACAAGTACAAGATGCCAGGGCTTTTTGCCAGCCATAGCTGTAATCCTAAGGCCATTAGCTGGGATGTAGACTCTGCATGTTCCCATGAGGTGAGTGGAGGTGGTTCCCAGGGATGGGACTACTGGTAGCCAAGTTTCTGGAGGTGCAGGATGCTTCTTGGACCTTTCTCAGCTCCTAATACACAGAATAGGTGAAGCCAGGGCTTTGCACCAGGTAGCCCAGTCCCAAGACACTTGTGGCCCCTTTCCTAGTTTCTGTGGGGCAAGTGCAGGCAGGACTTGGGCTTGTGGCTGTAGCAGCCAGTGTCCCTGCAACTGCAGAATGCTAAGGGGACTGACTTTCTACCCTGTGAGTTGTTTAGAGACCCAGGGCTTTTGTAATTACCAGCCCCTAAGGCAAGATGGCATCTAGCAGTGTCTGCCCTAGCAGCTTGGGTTCTGGGGATTGGGAGAGGCCCCAAACGAGTTCCTTCTGTGGAACATAGCAATTGCTCTTAAGCCAGTCAGCTCTCCAAACTGGATTTAAAGCCTTTGAAAACCATGGAATTCTCCTGCAGTTAGAGCTGCTGGTCTGCTGCTGTGATCAGAGTTGCTGGCACCTTCTTGCTCATCTTTTCTTGACAGTCTGGAGTCTGTGTCCCACGCCCCCCAACATGGACTGGGATTTGTTCATTTGTCTTGGTTGCCTTTCCATATCTGCATGCCATTTAGGGATCCCTTCACTTCCTTGCTGATTCCCAGAGTTCTCCTTCAGTCACTTTCCTAGAAATGACCACTTTCTCTCTCTGTTGCCCTGGTTTTTTTCCTCTGTGCAGTTGTGTGCGGGGCACCTTTATTCAGCCATCTCAGATCCAAATGTTTTTAGTATCATTCCTGGTTTCACAGTTTTGTCAGAATTGAAGCTGAAATTCATGACAATTTTTGATCTTGCTGTTCTTCACAGCCAAGATTTAGGTAGACAGACAGACAGACAGAGATATAGATATATTACATGTTAAGCACAAACGTTTACCAGATTGCAAACTCCATATAGGTCATGGCAGTGACTGAATGTCTTTCCTATTTCAGTACTTAACATGGTACTAGTTGCTCATTAAATATTTGTTGAATTAAAGGGTTCAAAAGTTTTTTATAAAATTATAAATTAAAATTTATGCTTTAATGTATGCTCTTTTGCTTTAAAAAAAAGAGCAGTGTGATTAGCAAGTAAAAGAAGGAAAGGAGGACTGATGTAAAGGATACTGCTCATGGTCTTCAATGCTTCTGTCTTTGCTAAATGGGCCATCAGACTCTGGAAGATGGTTGAGTAATGTCCTTGGCCTGCTCTTTCTAAAAACAATTGCTTCTGATACCCTTAATCCTCTGCCACTCTGATGTACTTGCCTACACTGAACTGGAAGTCCTTATTTCCTTGCTCCCACCGTATGGTTTACAGCCCTTTCCCTGGAATCTCTGGTTTTCAAACCATGGAGTTACCTTTCAGTTCTCCCTGTCCCCGTTAATTCCTTTGTACCAAGTTACCAAAGCACATTTAATCTCTCCTCCACTTCTGTTTCCCTCACAGTCTGTTTTATTGCCTTGCAGCAGAAGGCAGTAGTCCTCCCAAGGCCAGCTCTCTGTCTCACTATTCTCTGCTTGGTCGCCAGCAAAATCATCCTTAAACCCTGATTTTATGGTGTCTTTTCCCCTACTTAATGCTCCAGTGATCAGATTGTCACTCTTTGACTTGACACTCTTAAGTGTTGTCCTATTCTGTTTTATTGCCCCATCATTATTTGATCTAAGTTCCCCCACATTTTCATCTCTCTGAATTTCTTTATGCCTTCCTGTCTCTGTGGCTTAATTCATATTTTTCTTATTTGTTGTGGGACAGATCAAACTTTTGTTCCTGAATCCTTGTATTAGTCAGCCTTCTGTAACTGAGGCAAATATAAAGAGAAAAAGGGTTTTGCTGGTGTCGTGGTACATACCTGTAATTCCAGTGGCTTGGGAGGCTGAGGCAGAAGGATCACAAGTTCAAAGACAGCCTCAGCAACTTAGCAAGACGCTGTCTCAAAATAAAAAGTAAAAAAGGGCTGGAGTTGTGGCTCAGTGGTTCAGTGCCCCCACATTCAATCCTTGGTATTAACAAAACAAAGAGAGAGAGTGAAAGGGTTTGGGGGCTCATGGTTTTAGAGTTTCTAGTCTAAGATCAAGCAACCCCGTGGCTTTGGGCCGCTGATGAAGTAGCACAACATGGCAGGAGAATGTAACAGGGTAAATGACACACCTCATCATGGGGTCCCATCATCCCTTTGGAGGTGATATCCCCTGTGACCTAAGAACCTCCCACTAAACCCCAGCCCCTAAAGGTCCATGACCTCCCAATACTGCCATCTGGTGACCAAACCTTGAACACAAAGGACATTAGGGCTCATTCAACATCCAAACTATGGCAATCTTTTTGAGACCTCTTGAAGGAAGGAAGGAAGGGAAAGGAAGAAAAGAGGGAGGGAAAGAAAGGAAGGCAGGAAGGAGTACAGAATTAGCAAATGAGGGAGACTTCTTTATCTATTTTGTGCTATTAAAACAGAATATCTGGGTTATTTATAATGGACAGAAACTCGGTAGCTCCAGTTTTGGAGGCTGCCAACTGACTAGAGCCTTTCTGCATCAACATCACAGGGCAGAAGGTGAAAGGGAGACAGACCTGATATCCTCACCAACTGACTGAAGAAAGGATCCTGTCTTAGACCACTTGATAGTCCCATAGAGCCTTACATTTTAAATTTAGTGAATACTAAAGAAATACTTCTTATTAAATTATTACAAAAATCATCCCTTTTTTTTGAGTTTTTTCTTTGTTGTTTTTTTAAATATTCTTGATTACTACGCTGCTGTTGTGGTGCTGTGTAGTTTTTTTTTGTTTTGTGGTGGATATGATGTTATTTATTTTTTTTTTTTTTATATTTTGTTTTGTTTTTTTTTTGTGGGGGGTTCTTTTTTTCGGTGGTTTGTTCTTATAATCATGCTTGATGTTTTTTTTGTTGTGTAGTTTTTTTGACTTTTTTTTTCTCCTACGGCATTTTTTTTTATACATGATGATCTTTTTCTGGTTGTTGGTTATTGTATTCTTCGGATCCTCTTCTGCTATTTTTTTTTTTTTTTTTTTTTTGTTGTTTTTTTGTTTTTGTTGTTTTTTGGGAGCTCCTTTCTTTTTTGGTGGGGCTTTTTTGTTGTTGCAGGACTCACCCAGGAAGGCCTTTTCAGAGTGAACGGGAACGTGAAGGTGGTGGACCGACTGCGGCAGCAGTTCGAGAGCGGGGCGCGCGTGGAGCTGCAGGAGTTGGGCGACGTGTGCGCGGCTGCCAGCTTGCTGAAGCTCTTCCTGCGCGAGCTGCCAGAGGGCGTCATCCCTTCTGCGCTGCATCCACGCTTCATCCAGCTCTTTAAGGGTTAGGACATTCTCTTAGGAGTTAAAACAACTCTATGTTTCAGTAAAAGCTATGCCTTTAAATATTTAAACTGCAAATATTAAAATAAGCTTTTGGATGTTTGTGGTCTTTCCATGTCTACCTTGCTATTTGATGACCAAGCCCTCATCTCCTAGTGGACACAATTGTAAACTGATTATGAAATGCAATTATTAAGTGGAATTTCTGGACTATTAGCAAGTGAATACCTCAGTAACATAATATCAAAAAGCCCTGATGCTTTGGGGTCAAAGAAATTTTTTTTTTCTGACTAGTAACTGCCATAGAAGAAATGAGAATAAGATGTCAAAAATCTGTTTACAAAATATTAATGGCTTACATGGTAGCCTGCTAGTGACCTTGGATATTGGAAGCTCACTGATGTACTTGTTTTTTCACATAAGCAAAAGTGAGTTCTAAGAAAATTGCATTTGTTTGGTGGAGCAAAAAGTGGGTTTTGATTGCACTGCAAAGTGATTCTTAAATAAAAGAACTACCCTAAGTGTAACAATTATAGGCATAATCATTACCATATTTTCCCTCCTCTATACAATAAGAAAAATAATTGACCTTTGAAAAGCCATTTATTTCCTTATTTTTGCCCCATTCTAGTGGAAAGGGGAAAATGTACTTGTGAGAGTGTTAGTTGCCAGATTAAGAAGGATGCTACTTACATTCCTTTAAAGCAGTGGTATGACAGTTCAGGTGTAGCATACCAAAGGTTGGGATAAGTGAGAAGGCCAGGTAGCTGAATAAGAAGGTGCTAGAAACATTGCATCCCATGGAGGACCATTTCAAATAATAGGAGCTATGATTTTGAAGAGTGACCCCAAAGGGTCCGTATGTAAAGGTTTGGTTCTCCAGGGTAGTGGTATTGGGAGGTGCTGTGTGGACCCTTAAGAAGTGAGGCTAAACCAAGGGGAGGGAGGAGGAGAGAAAAGGCGGAAATAAAAACAAACAAATAGAAGATAATAGAATGAAATATATATATATATTTCATTCTATTATCTTCTATTTGTTTGTTTTTATTTTTATTTTATTTTTATTTTATTCTTCATTCATATATATATATGAATGAAGAAGCAAGGCCTGCTTGGGAATATGTCCTTGAAAGGGACAGTAGGACTCTGCTCTCTTCCTCCAGCTTTCTCTGCTTCTTGGCTTAAAATAAGAGTGCTTGCTATTCTGTACTCTCCTTCTTTAAAAAAAAAAAAATTATTTATTTATTTATTTTTTAGTCACAAAAGGTCACAATACCTTTATTATTTATTTATTTATTTATATGTGGTGTTGAAGATCAGACCCAGTGCCTCACACATGCTACATGAGTGCTCTGCCACTGAGCTGCCACCCCAGCCCTATTTTGTATTTTATTTAGAGTTAGGGTCTCACTGAGTTGCTTAGTTTTGTATTTTATTTAGAGTTAGGGTCTCACTGAGTTGCTTAGGGCCTCGCTGTTGCTGAGGCTGGCTTTGTATCTGTGATCCTCCTGTCTCAGCCTCCTGAGTTGTTGGGATTATAGTTGTGCACCACCATACCTGGATATGATGCATTCTCTTGCCATGATGTGCTACTCTTGTCAAAGGCCCAAACTGACGGGGCCACCCTACTGTGGACTTGAACTCTAAAATTATGAGCCAGAATGAACATCCCTTTAATCCACAAGGAGCCTGTGTCAGATAGTTCATTATAGTGATGGAAAGCTGACTAACACCTTAGGTAAAAGTGACCATTGAGCCGTCCAGCCAGTCACTAGGGAGGGAGGCACATCTTAGTTCCCCAACCTTCTAGTGTTGGAAATGCTTCCTTGCCTGGCCCCTTCACACCACTCCACAGCGCCTGGCTTCCAGTGGTGACCTTTAGGTAGTCCTCTTGGAAGGTTACCCATGTTCTCTCCTTTCCTTCAAAGTTCCATCTGGTCTTCCAGAAACACACGCACATTTTTGCCAAGTTCTTGAAATGGAGGTCAGTTTGGTCCTAGGGCAGAGCCCTGCCTCTTTGTGCTGCCCCCCAGGGCACCCCTGGTCAGCCAGCTTCTCTGCCTCAGCCTCCTTCAGTTATCCCAGATTCTTTCAGGAGTTTGACTCTTCACACTCCCCAGGTGGTATTCTGATACCCCTCACTTGGCTGGGGAAAAGAAGGAGGAACATTTTACCTAACTACTCTCCTTTTACATCACTATTCTCTAATCTTTAACTCCAGATTTAAAGTTTCAAATTTCTGCTTAAATATCCTTGAGGTAGATGATGGCCCATGGCTCACCAGATCTGTTTTTTGTCTCACCTTAACAAGTTCTATGTACCTGCTTAGAATAGGTAGGCCAATCACAATGTTTATTGTTAGCTTTGGGGACCTCAAACCAAGAGTGATTGCATCAGTTTCTAGGTCTCCAATAACAAAATACCACAGACTGGGTGACTTCAGCATCAGAAATTTATTTTCTCACAGTTCTGGAAGCTGGAAGTACAAGATAAAGATGCCTACAGGGTGGGTTTCTAGCAAGGTCTCTCTCCTTGGCTTTCAGTGGGCGGCGGCGGCGGCTATCACAGCTACCACCTCCCCCTCCTCCTTCTTCTTTGATATTCTTTTAAATTTTTTTTAAATTTATTTGTTCTAATTAGGTGTATATGACAGAAGAATGCATTTCAATTCATTGTACACAAATGGAGCACAACTTTTCGTTTCTCTGGTTGAACATGATGTAGAGTTCCACCATATGTGTAGTCATACATGTACCTAGGATAATGATGTCCATCTCATTCCACCATTTTTCCTGCCAGTGGGCCACCTTCGCACTATAGCTTCACATGCCTTTCCTCTATGTGCTCGGTTTCCTGATGTTTCTTCTTCTTAAAAGGATATCTGTCAGTCTTACTACATCAGGGGCTTACTCTGATGACTTCATTTAACCTTAATTGCCTGTTTTAAAATTCTCAATCATAGTCTCATTCTGGAGTATTGAAGACCTTTAACATGAATTTGGGTTACACAGTTCAGTCCATAACAATAACACAACAGGAAAGATCCCATTTTTTAAATTATTTTGTTTGTAATCTTAGACACTTCTTGTTTTAAAAAATGACTATTTTTCTAAAAATGGCATGATACAATCATATATGAAATTATTAAATACTATTGTATCCTATTGAAAATAGTGATAAAATATTAAAGTAAAAGTTATGGAACAATTTGTTCTGGTTTTCTACAGTGCTTTTAAATTTTCTCAGCAAGTGGTATTTGTTAAGTAACATATGTTTACAACTTGTTAATTGGAAACTGAACACTTTCATGTTTATACATATGAGCATTCCAAGGAAGTAACCATTGCTCCTGTTTAGAGACTTAAAATCATTCTTACAAGGGCTTTTTTTATCCAGGTCACAGGGACAAGAAGTTTTAAGACCAAGTTTTGAAAATCATTTTTAAGCAATTGATACAAAATGTTTAGTAATCAGATATCTTTAGTATTCTTAATATTATTCTGTAGTATTCTGTATTTCTCTATATTCAAAAATCACATGAATTTCAAAAGCATTTATTACATTTCCTAGAATAGTTTTCATCTGACAAGCATATATTGCTTTAGTATTTTGGATATAATTTATAGTTATAATTTTTTTTATAATGTAGATCTTCTCTGTAAGTTTCCTTCTTCTTAATTATATGGTTCCTAGGTGTCCAAACTGTAGTTTGTGTAGCCAGGTGCAGTGGCACACCTGTAATACGAGTGACTCTGGAGGCTCAAGCAGGAAGATCATAGGTGTGAGGTCAGTGTTGGCAACTTATTGAAACCCTGTCTCAACAATAAAAAGGCTGGGGATGGAGCGCAGTGGTTAGAGTGCCCCAGAATTCAAACCCTGGCACTGTTAAAAAAATAAATGTTGATTATGTATATAAAAGCAAGTATAGGGATGAGATGAACTTTCTTTCCTTTGAAGGAAGAAAACCATTTTAATTATAATCTCACACACAGGAGTCCCACAAAATACAAGACTCAAAGAAGAGCTAGATGATTGAAGGTTTTACTAGCATCTTGAGCTACAGAAAGGAACAGAGGCTGGGGTCGGGAATGGTTCTGGGTTGGGGACGTGACCCAGTTATAGGAGAATGAGAAGAGGAAGAATATAGTGAATAAAGGTTGTCTTTTTATGCAGTCTCTGGTGATATAAGTTATGTGGGAAGGTAGAGGGTCTTCTGTAAATTTCTTCTGATGGTGGGAGGACCTGTCTTTAGATACAGGAACTTGAGAGAGGGCAGCTGCTGCATTTTGTTGTGCCCCCAGTGCTCTGGGTTTGCAGTAATCAGCCCTGCCAGAGCAACGTATTTCAAACGGATATTTCCTGAACTCCTTCACCATTAGGGTCACCTTACAAACAAGACTAGTTTGTATCGTCACCTTTAGGGCATGTGAGGTCCTTCCTACACAAGGAACAAATTTTGAATGAGGCAGAGACATTACATTTTTGCTTTATAAATATTATTCTTTCCTTCCCTGAAAATCTGAGACATTCAATAAAGAATACTAATAATGCAATCTACTAAGTAGAGGGAATAAAGCATGCCTCAGATGTCAGACAGCATAGGCCTTATAAAATAAACTCCCCTCTATAATAATTCCAGTAAAAAATAGATTAAAAAAATAAATAAATAAAAAGAGTTGCTGTGCTCCTGCTGGTTTATCCTGATTGAGGTACTCTTACAGTGGAGGGTAAATACTGCAGCAAGGTATACCTCATTCCCAACAGTAAATTGCCTGCTCTTTTGTTTTTTGTGATGTTCAGATTGAACCCAGGGCTTCACCCATGGTAGGCAAGTACGCTATCCCATAGAGGCACCCCCCGTTTCTTGCCTACTGTTTTTAATGCCTACTAAAAGCATATGTTACACTTGGCGGTTATAGTATTCTCATTTCCCCTTTTCACTTTTTTTTTTTTTTTTTTTTTTTTTTTTTGGATATGGCGTCTTACTGTGTTGTGCAGACT